CGCCGCCCGCCCGCCTCACGTCACGTCGTCGCCGCCGTCAAGACGCCGCCCGCCTTCACGTCGTCGTCGTCAAGACACCGCCATCGCTACCGACACGTATATATATCGTCATTTGTATTCATATGCATGTATATATATCGTCATGCGGGCGCCGCCGCGCCTCGTTAAATCCATGCGTTTCTATGTATACTTATGAGCACCGCCGCCCTCGCTCACCCATGTGTACGAGACATATATACTGGCGGAGTGGAGCACCACCACTCTTGTCACATCGCCCTTTCTCGTGGCCTAGTTGATCAACATTCGTATTATTGTTATCGTTAATGCTAAACAATCACACCGAGGCGAACCGCTACTGTTGATGTACTATATATTGGTTTTTGTTTTTGAAGCTAGATGGCCAACCGAGAAACATGGATGAGGAGGAGTTGATGATGAATTTGATCAACACCGCACTCAAGTTGCGGCGATGATGGTGCTAAAAATAACGTGCAAGAGGATGTAGATGACGGGAGTCAGTACTTAGCTCTTGAACAAAATGAGCAACAACAGATTGGCCAAGTATATATTTTTTATTATTAGCTATATATGTTATCATATGTCTTTATGTGTGCTCATGACATTAAAAAATAATGTTTATGTTTTGTAGCCCTCGGATCGACATCAACAACTACAACGAAGAGTAAAATGTTCGAGGTCCCAAAAAGCCATTGGAGGGCCGCTTCATCATCTCGGAGTTTAATGTGGATGAGGAGAACCGGGGGCGAATAAAATGAAATTTGTGCACCATTGTGGTTACCTTTGTACGGACCGGCTCCCGATTAGTACCCGTGAATGGAAGAAGAAGACCAATGCTCCTCATATCAGTTTTGTCTCCGATCGTGACAAGGCATTAATTTGGAATGATGTCTTGGTACATTTCACGCCCAAACAGATGGTTATGATGATATAATAGATGGTGATGAATTGAAGGAGTGAGTTAGGGATTGGGCAATGAAGAAGATGGCCACCCAGTTTCAGACTTGGAAGAAACACCTATACACGACGTATGTCAAGAAGAACATAGCACCAGATTTTCTTGTCCCGGCCCGATCTCAAAGCAGAGGCCCTATTGGGATGAGTTTGTACAAGACAAGACTTGGAAGAGGGTGTGAGTCGGGTGATAAAGAACCAACGTAATGCCCAATGAAGACATACCACCATACCTTGGGATCGGTGGCTACCCAACCGCCATTAAGAAGTGGAACAAAATGGAAGCGCACCTTCTTGCCAAGGGTATCGGACGAGAATCACTCGAGTGGGGAGAGCGTGCAAAGAATTGGTTTTTCGGTCATGGGGAACACTAGACCCAGAGACGAGGAAGTGCGTTTATGGCACAAGGCGCAAGAAGCAAAGCAGAAGATTGTTTTATGCTCGAGAGCTATCGCTAGTGGTGCGTTCAGGCCCAACAGAGAGAAGGATGAGTGACACACGCCATCGGGACTCATTGAACATGGTGGGCGAACTAGAGGCAAAGGAAGTGTCTCGTGGGAGCATGGATTCCTCAGATGCACCTTCTTATGAAGTCGCCAGAGAAAGAAGGAAGAAGAGGCAGAGCGGCTCCAGAGATTGGAGGAAGCGGTGCGTGAAGCATGAGGAGCGAAAAAAAAAACCTTGAAGCGAGAATGCGGGAGGAAATCGGAAGGCAAGTGCAAATAGCGGTGAGTGCAAGTAAGCGTGCATCGAGCGAAATCAACATTAGCCAATGCTCGCTTGAAAAGCGCCATTGCTTCCACGGAGATACCAAATTAAGGGGACACAGGATTGCGCTTCCTGTGGATGACATCACTGAACCTTGTACAACGTGTGAGCTACACATTCCGAAGGAGAATTCTACAATCAAGGTGGCTATCGGTCTTGTTAATCCTATCGACCGAACCAAGACACCAAGGATTCATGGGAATATAATCCAAGAAGGATATGCTACCATCTCGGTAGATAAAGTGAAAAAGGTTTTAGTGATTTGCCTCTTGACATTCTCGGAGGTGATGGCGAGAAGACTCTAGGAGAAGCGGAGAAGACATTCATTCTATGGCGCAAAGCGCTACATCATCATTCCGTGGATGTCGGCTCCACCTCCTCCTCCGAACTACCTCACCATAGGTACGTGCGGATGAAAACACTACATCATTAATTTGTATTGGCTTAAATAATTAACAATCTGCTCATAATAATGTCATTCCTTTTTTTTGTAGCAGATCCTCCCTCAACCTAAATCCAATTGTTCAATCGCCAGATCATCATAATGCTCAGTACGATGACATTATGTTTGAAGACGAGGTTGCATCTACACCATCTCCAAGGAGGTCTCTCAACGCATGGCCGCCACCTCCAAGGAGGTCTCCAACGCCCGCCGCCAACACCTCCAAGGAGGTCTCCAACGCCTCCCCGCCCCGCCTACCAAGAAGCCTAGCAAGAGGCCAACCCTCAAACGAAGAACCGGTCCCCTTTGCAAAGAAAGCCACCGTGAAACCAAGGGCTATTTCCAAAATAATATCTCAAGAGAAGGAAGAAGGAACTGATGCATATAAAAAAGACATGTCTAGATTCTATGACAAACTTAAAATGAATCAAGAAGCAAGGAGAAACCCGGAGAAACCGTACTTCTTCAGTAGCTCCAGATATTCTAAGAAAAAGATGACTTCTTACCAAAGAACAACAAATGTGGGAATCTCGTAAGTCGTCCAAATCAACGTTATCGGACTATGACCGCACTCTCACCAAGTCAATTGAGGCGGCACAAAAAAGAAGCGGGCAGAAAAGGCATTGCCCAACTCGGACAACAAGCGCACTCAATCAATCCCCGCTAGTTGTTGGTAATGAATATGGTTCGAATTTAGGATTAATGCATCAGCAAACATACCTCCGGATGTCGATTTGGATCACCTTGGTGAATTTCTTGATGAGCCCCGGTCTCGACCTTTACCAGATGTTTGGTGATGAAAACATTGAGAGTGCGGCGGAGGTTGATATTTGGAAGAAAAAATTTGTACTAGGCCGAGTCTATACAACCCTCAAGCCTTATCTCGATCTGGGGACTTAAATGTACCGCTAAACAAGTGGTACATGCAGACGTCTATCGATGGAGACTTCTGCGTTGGTGTCGTAATTAGAGACGAATATTGGTTCCGTATGGCGATGATGTTATGTATGTTGACTTTGCGTAATTTCATCAACTATGCCACCCGACCTCTCCGGACAAAGTTATCATTAGTCGCTATTGCCTCGTAAGTAATAATTCTTTTCGATCTATTATTAAACTCATCATATGTGTGTATATGCATATAAATTATCCTAACAAGTACTATATATATGCAGATTTACAATGACAGAGCTCGTAAAGGAAGGCTGCAATGAAATTGGTTTTGTTGATCCCCATATAGTATTCAAGACCCAATTACTCCAAAGACTAATTGGAAGTCCGAAATGAGAGTAACCTTATGAACTTCTTAGTGAACCAACGCCACAAGAAGGATATACTCTTTTCCTATAACTTCAAGTGAGTGTTAATCATGTCGATCATATCCTTAATGGCTCATATGTTGATTCTAGTTAATTAATGAGTGTTATGCGTTATATCCTATAAACACATGCAGCAATCATCGAATATTGATGGACATCGATGGTGAAAAGTCACTTGATAATCTATGACTCGATGAGAAAACCACAACAAGACTACCAAGATATGATAGATATTATTCAGAGGTAATTTCGGGATCTCTAGCAACTATATATACACACAAACATGATGATTAACTATATCTGATGACGTGGTAAATTTTTTATTGGGCAGTGTTTGAAAAACCTTTATTGAGAAGCAACACATGGAAAATGCAAAGCGCCAATCGAATGTAATCCCTTTGAAAGTAAGTCCCCGAATCGCATCATCTTTATTAATTAAACATATAGCTTTCACCGGATCACCAGATTGGATGACAAATCTTTTTCTCGTAAAAGTGGTGTCTAAGGCAGAACAGGGAACAACTACTGTGGTTACTATGTTTGCAAGTTTATCAAGGTGCTCTCCCAAAGAACTCCTACAGAGAGAGACTCAAAGCACGTTAAAAATACACTATATATTCATTTAATTATTATTATTGATTGTGTTACTATGTCTTTATATATATATATATGTACATATATTAATTTATTTTCCTTTAATTCAAACCTCAGAGACTCGATGGTTGGAGGAAAAGGTCATACGGCAAGACCAAATCAAAGCAATTCAAGAGTCTATAGCCGGATTTTTTTAATGAGCAGGTCATCGATTCCAAGGGCGAAGTTCTACTTGACCCAACACCGCCATTGAAGCCAAGCTAGAGGATGAGAGGAAACTTGTTATGTCACAACAACTGTAATGCAATCTTTTGTAATATATGCACATGAAATAATATAATGTAAAATACACATATGCATGCATGCATGTAAATATATATATATGCATGCATTCATATATATATATATATATATATATATATATATATATATATATATATATATATATATATCTATGCTTGAATTGTGTGATTTAATACGTTCATTGTGCTTGAACCGAAACATACTATATGCGCGTATAAATGTATAATTAGCAGCGACAATACGATTTCAAAAACCTATTTTGAAAAGAAAACAAAAAATGAAAAGAAAAAAAAAAAAAACCTTTAGTCCCGGTTGGTATTACCAACGGGACTAAAGGTGCCGCCATCGTAGCATGTCGGGAGGCACCTTTAGTCCCGGTTGGCACCCACGGGACTAAAGGTCCTCCTTTAGTCCCGGTTCCTGACCTGGGACTAAAGGACCCCCCCTTTAGTCCCGGATGCTTGCTCCCGGGTGGGGAACCGGGACTAGAGGGGGTTCCCCACCGGAAGTAAAGCTCGGTTCTCTACCAGGGTACGTACGTGCGTCGCCGTTGTCGTCCCTAGCTAGCTCACGGCTAAGGAGAGAGAGAGAGCAGCAGGGCGATGGCACTGTCGCGGAAGGCGTGGATCGCCGCCGGCGTTGGTGCGCGGCTGCTCATGATCGCCGTCCTGGCCGTGAGCGTGCCCCTCACGCTCCACAACGACACCAAGCGCAATTACGGCGGCGATGACTTCTACAAGCTCCAGAGCTACTCGTACGTGCACGTGCAGTACCCTCTCGCGTGTGATCCGATCGAGCAAGGCCGTGCTGGAAACCGGTCGTGATTTGATTTGATCTGTTCCGTGTCTCGTCGCTGCTGATGCTGCGTGCATGTGCATGTGATCTACGAATTGAAGGTACACGGTCGCGGTGGCGGTGATGGCCAGCGGCGTGCTGCAGAGCCCCGTCGCCGTCTACCTCCTCTGCAAGAGCAAGCGGATAACGCCCAGCTCCCTCGTCCTGGACATCAGCCTGTGCGCCGACGTGGTACGAGGCATGCATGTCACACACGTTGCTGTGCTTATGCATATATACTCCTAGCTACGTATAATGCATGCAGCATGTGTGTGGTGCATGCAGGTGGTGACCGTTCTGCTGGCCAGCGGCGTCGGCGCGGGGTTCGGCGCCACCAACAACGATGCCTTGCGATACGTCAACTACGTGAGATGGGAAGAAAACAGCAGAAAGGACGATCTCATCGACTACTACAACAAGGCGATCGTCCCCGTGGTCTTCCTCCTCCTCGGGACGGTACTGTCCATGGCCGCCACTGTCGTCTCGGCCAGGCTCCGGGCCCGGGCGACCGACGAAGCCGACGCCCGACGTCTGAGGCATCTGTCACCAGCTCGGTCGAAGCCAAGATCATCAATGCCGTCCGGTCCCTCCCAACTCAGTTTGTGTTTCCAATTTCCATACCAACACAGCATTCATTCCGCATGCGCTTGGGGGATTTCAGAATTCAGACCAATAATGCATGGCTCCGATCCGGTCGACCTGGCTCTGTTAGGTTGATCTCCTCCGAGTCGACCCAACGGCTAACTCGGGCCTTGATCCGCGCCCTGATCGGGGCGCCCAACCAAGCCATTGTTGGTGGGCCCCCGTCGCACAACGCCATATAAAAGGAGGTGGAGGGCTGGGGCACTTGGTACGAGGTTTACCGTGTCGCCACAAAACCCACTAACAAAACCCTAAACCGATCAAAGGGGGGGCTGAAGCGGCGAGAAGCGTCGCCACCGACTCCGTGCCGCCACCAATCTTCACCGACACCGCGCCGCCACCGACCAGGGCTGCCTCACCTTCCCCATGGCAACCTCGAGCTCCTCCGCCAAGACCGATGGTCAGACATTCCTATTTCCCCTCTCTCTTTCTCTCGCTCTAGTTCATGTTCTAGGTTTTTTATCCCAAATAGTAGAGTTCATTCACTAATCTATGCCTAGATGATCCTATATGTCTATCATTGGTATCGGTTAGCCAGGTCTAGCGCGTAGATCTGGTACGGGGAAGATTTTAGAAGGAGTTGGTTTGATTTCAGATTCCCCAAACCCTAACCCTAAATAAAATGGATAGAAGGATGGAGGGGACAGGGTGCCTACCTGGGAACCGCCCGCCCCATCGCCACCACCGGTCGTCGCTTGGATGCCGTGCGGGAAGAAGACCCGTCCCACGCGGGAGAACCAGCCGAGCCACACGCCATCGGGCACAGAGCGCCGCCGTAGGGGCTCAGGCTCAGGGCACTATCGCAAGGCCGCTCAATGACGGTGCACTCACCCTCAGACGAACGCGCAGCGCCGAGCGAGGGGGCCTGAGGCGGCACCGCCATCTTTCCTTCGGCAGCCGCTGCTGCTCCTCTATCGCTCGTTGCGGTGATGAGAGAGAAGGGGGGAGAGAATGAGACCTAGGATTAGGGGGAGGGCGGTCAGCCGTCGGATCGTCATCGACGACCGACAGAGCATGGGCCGGATTTGGGCCAGGCGGGAAGGTAGTTTCCTGGCCTAGGCCCAGGTTGCGGCCTAGGCACGGGGGAGGGTAGCGCGCGGCTGGGCCGTGGCAGCGCGCAGCGTGTGATGGGCCTTCAGGCTGAATGAACAGTATGCCCTATGAATTAGTTTTATTATTTTCAGAGGCATTTCTTTCATGAATTTAGTCTAGATTTTAATATCTACTCAAATTTAATTGGGATAATTTGTTTAGAGAGTAGATAAGTACATAGTGATGCTTCTGAATAAGTATTATTTTCAAGAATTTTTTCATGTTTCCGCTGCTACGATTATGTTAATCCTCTAATTAATTTGGATCCAACGGAAAAATTATAATTGGAGGAGTAGTCATATTTGTTTAAGTTAATTTATGATTTTTTTTCTGACCAACGTTGATGATAACAATATTACGATCTTTATAAGTTTGTTCATGAGTTTTCCATGCATTAATTCTAGAATTAATGTAGAAGAACCTTGTATTTATGATATTGCTATTTTCTGACCAAAGTTGATGATAGCGATATTATAATTTTTGTTTATGAATTTTATGCATTAGTTCTATTTCTGCCCAACGGTGATGTAGAGTTAATGTAGAAGCACATTGTATGTTTTGATTCTGACCAACGTTAAATTATGACATGCAATTACTATATCATGTTTCTCACTTTCTCTGATGTTGTTTTTAGGATATAACCCAATGATGTTTATCTCGTCCATTCCGCCTCTCAATGGAAGCAACTATAACGTATGGTGAGAGAAGCTTGAGATAGCACTTGCGCTGTTCGACAATGATCTAGCACTTATCTCTCCATGTCCCACTGAGCTTGAGGACCCGGTGAGGGCAGAAAATGAGACTGATGCAGCTTTCGCTACTCGGCAGCGTGACCATGCATAAGTGATAATGAAGTACGACCTTGATCGTGCGAAATGGGATAGTTCAAACCGCAAGTGTTTGATAGTGATTAAGATCTCTATTGAGGATCCAATAAGGGGATCAATCCTAGAATGTACCACCGCCACTGAGTATCTCAAGAAGGTGGAGAGTCAGTTTACTAGCTCTTCAAAGGCTTATGCAAACACTCTTATTAAGAAGTTAGTCAATGAGAAATACACTGGTTGCGGGATTAGAGAGCACATATTGAAGATGAGCAACATGGCATCCAAGCTCAAACCAATGGACATGGGGCTCAAAGATGAGTTCCTAGTTCATTTGATTTTTGCATCTTTGCCCAAAGAATATGAAACCTTTGTTGTTAATTACAACTTATAGCTAGATAAGTTGAACATTGAGAAGCTCATTGTCATGTGTGTGCAAGAAGTGAAGAGGCTTAAAAGCTCACATGGTGACTCCGTCAACCATGTGAAGGAAAATAAAAAGAAGAACTTTAACAACAAGAACGCTAAACCACAAGAAAAACCTCAGTGGGACAATAGCTCCTCCTCTAAGCCACAAGAAAAGGCCCTATAGAATGATCACCATCAGAAATTCAACAATGTTCAAGTAGACAAGGATACTTGCAAATGATGCAAGAAGAAGGGACACTACTAGAAGGATTATCCAGAGTTCCTGAAGCACCCAATGAGAAAAGGTGAGGACATTATTAAATGAGTCCTTATATTTAAGTTATCCAAAATCTACTTGATGGATTGATTCAGGTGCAACTATTCATGTTGCAAGTTCATTACAGGGATTCCATACGAGGTGGACCCCGCAAAGAGGAGAAAGACGCATTAAGGTAGCAAATGGAGTCAAAGCTGAAGTTGAAGCCATTGGAGAACTCCCATTAGAATTGAATGATGGTTTTGTACTTAAGCTTAAAGATGTCCTTTATGTACCCTCTTTGCGTAGAAACTTAATAAGTTTTTCACGTTTAGACGATGATGGATTTGATTGCTATTTTGGTAATGGCCAATGTAAGATTATGTTTAATCATAAGTGTGTTGGTCTTGCCTTCCGACAAGACAAGCTCTATTTGTTATCACTTTGTGAGAATGCGAATGTTGTGAGCACTAAAAATGAGAATGCCTCCTCATCTATGAATGCAAGAAATAAGCGGAAGAGAGTTTATGATGTATCATCGAAATTATGGCACTGTCATTTAGGCCATATTTTAAGGGGAAGAATAGAACGATTGATTAAGAAATCAATTCTTTCACCATTAGAATTTTCAGACTGCATTGATTGTATTAAAAGAAAGTATGTTAAGAAAATAAAGAAAGACGCTAAACAAAGCGCATGAATTTTAGAAATAATTCACACAGTTATCTGTGGTCCTTTTCCTATAAAAAGTGTGGATAGTTATGATTTATTTATAACATTCACAGATGATTATTCTTGTTATGGCTATATTTATCCAATTAAGAAAAGATCAGAAGCATCGGATAAATTTAAGATATTTAAGGCTGAAGTAGAAAATCAGCACAATCCAAAGATTAAGATAGTAAGATCCGACTATGTGAGGAATACTATTATCGGCATACCCTATATAGCCAAGTTCTTGGACCTTTTGCAAAATTCTTACAGGAAAATGGCATAATTGCCCAGTACTCTACACCGGGCGAGCCTCAGCATAATGGAGTAGCTGAAAGATGCAACCGTACATTAATAGATATGGTAAGAAGTATGATAAGTTACTCCACTTTACTGATAAATTTGTGGATGGAGGCGTTAAAAACCGTCATTCATATTCTCAATCGAGTACCAAGCAAGTCGGTGCCCAAAACACCATATGAGTTGTGGACAGAAAGGAAACCCTCACTTAACCATTTACGTGTGTAGGGCTGTCCAGCTAACGCTAAAGTATTTAATCCAAATATTGGAAAGCTAGACTGCAAGACAGTCAGTTGCCATATCATTGGCTATCTAGATCAATCAAATGGTTATCATTTCTATTGTCCTAATATGTCACAGAACCGACCAATTTATAAGAGCATAAGTACAAAAACAATCACCGAAACGATTAAATTCTCGAACTTGAGCCCATATAAACCCGGTAGTCAACTGAAATCTCGAAGGATTTCAAACCAACTTGCATACAACCAAGATCACAGTAATTCAACATAACATATCGTACGTTACAACATTTCACAGACGTTCGCAAATGGATTACATCATCACAGAGTCATCGTTATTACAAAACAAGTCTTGTAAAACATGCGGAAGCAAATAGTTTAACTTACACACCCGAGTTCAAATACACATATTGGTTCGCTGATCACAGCCCGCAAAAGCATTCAGATAAGAGAACAGAGATCATGCCCATGATTTAGTCTTCATCACCCGCCGGGTGGAGACAATACTTATAGAATTCATGATATAGAAGGTCATCTGCAACAAGAGGGAATAAACCCTGAGTATGGGAATGTACTCAGCTAGACTTACCCGTCGAAAACCAAAATAAATGACACCAAGGATTATGCATAGCTTAATGTAGTGGATCTGGCTGACACTTTCTTTTTGCAGAAAAGCATAAGTAATAATGATCAACTCTTAGCCTGAACTAGCAGTGACTTTTTAGCCATTAACCTGTCATCTATATTAGCACCTATACTAAGCAATCATTTTATTAGGGTGCAAACATTAATAACCATATCAGGTATTCATTGTGGCAACCTTATCATCATCATCCATTTAACCATATCGTTAAATTAATTGAATCTACGTTGCCGCTGCTCAGTCAAGTTCTCACTATCCGGGAGAGACAGCGATTCGAATCGATTCCTATCCAGCTGGAGGGGTATTCCTAAACACAAACCCTGCTTCCCCCGTCGGAGTCGCAAACAAGTCACCTTTGGTACGATTCAGGAGTCGCGAGTCCGATCAGATCGACATTCTCAGAGAACCACTCTGCCAAGGTTGTTCGGGACTCTAACCCGCCTTGGACTTATGCCAATGGCTCTCCGCACATCCTTACTACCTCCAGAATGCCGCCACTGCTCGCGTCCCCGGCCTGAGTCGAGCTACTAGGCTTCGCGGTCGGAACGACTTATCCGG